CAGGCTGCACAGCACCGTGTCCAGGCGGGGCTGGAATATCTCCAGAGAAGGAGACTCCACAGCCTCCCTGGGCAGCCTGGGCCAGGGCTCCGTCACCCTCAGAGGGAAGAAGTTCTTCCTCGGGTTCAGCTGGAGCTTCCTCTGCTTTACTTTGTGCCCGTTGCCCCTTGTCCTGTCGCTGGGCACCACTGGGAAGAGTCTGGCCCCGTCCTCCTGACCCCCACCCTGCAGATATTTAGAGGCATTTCCAAGGCACGCTCTCAGACTTGTCTCCTCAGCCTCTCCTCCTAGGAGAGATGCTCCAGTCCCCTCCTCATCCTCGTAGCCCTGCGCTGGGCTCTCTCCAGCAGCTCCTCATCTTTCTTGAACTGGGGAGCCCAGCACTGGACACAGCACTGCAGATGGGGCCTCAGTGGGGCAGAGCAGAGGGGGAGGAGACCCTCCCTCGTCCTGCTGCCCACACTCCTCTGAATGCACCCCAGGAGACCATTGGCCTCTGGGCAGCCAGGGCACGCTGCTGGCTCATGGTCACCCTGACCCTGGGCTGGGGGAAGGGGTCCCTGCTCGTGGCAGGGGGATGGAACTGGATGAGCTCTAAGGTCCTTCCCAAACCATTCTGGGATTCTCCCATCCCTCTCCCCGTAGGTGGTGGATTACTACAAAGAGGCCTGCCGGGCGCTGGAGAACTCGGAGGGGAAGGGGTCCCTGCTCGTGGCAGGGGGATGGAACTGGATGAGCTCTAAGGTCCTTCCCAAACCATTCTGGGATTCTCCCATCCCTCTCCCCGTAGGTGGTGGATTACTACAAAGAGGCCTGCCGGGCGCTGGAGAACTCGGAGACGGCCTCGCTGCTGGGAAAGATCCAGAAGGACTGGAAGAAGCTGGTTCAGATGAAGATCTATTATTTTGCTGCTGTGGCCCACGTAAGTGGGAAGACCAACTCGGGGGGGCTGCTTGGCTGTGGTGGGGGGACCTGCCCTTTGCTCCCACCGCGGCTTGGGCTGTGCGCGTCCGCTGTGGAGCGGTGCTCACCATGACATGGCCGATGGAACGGGCTCTGGCTGCTCTGGGGGCTTTCCTTGCCCGTTTTGAAGATCACCCTCGAGTTAACGAGCTCTGACGCCGCTGATGTGTGTCTCCTTGCAGCTGCACATGGGAAAACAGGCCGAGGAGCAGCAGAAATTTGGGGAAAGGGTAAGCAGAGCCGTCTTGGCCCATCTTCTCCAGTCCGGGCTCGCCCCGGGAGGGTCGAGTCTTGGGAAGCGATTGTCACGCTCGTGACACTGGGTATCGGCAGCCCTTGGGGACAGGAGTGCGTCACCAACGGTGTCCTGCCCCGGCGAGCGTTTGGGGGTGTTCTCAGAAAGCCCCGTTACGCTGAAGGAAGCTGCGGCCCTCGGGGGCTGCTGGTGATGTTCGTGCCCGAAGTGAGGGCACCTAATTCTGTGCCAGCCCTAATTCCCGCTCTCTCTGCAGGTCATCTACTTCCAGAGCGCTCTGGATAAACTCAACGAAGCTATCAAGCTGGCAAAGGTGCGTTCCGGCTCCATCTGGCAGCGCTTAATTGGCTTTTTAAGGTCACCGTGCTGGGGCCTGGCTCAGGCCAGCGGGATGCCAGACGGGGAAGAGGAGAACTGGTGCCAGTTTAAAAGCTTTCCTTGCCGTTCGGTCGGTTGGCAAACCGGCGCTGGCTTCCCAAAGCGTCACCTTCCAGCCCTCTGGGACATCCAGCCAAGCCCAGGGCTCTGGTATCTCCTGGCCGCTCGGTCTGCCAAGGCTGGAGCGGGGTTTGGTTTGGTTTCATCGTTCAGGAGCCCCGTGGGGGTGTGGGTCTGCAGCGCCCAGCCCTGCCGCCTCGGTGGGCTCCCCGCGGAGCCCCCCGCTCGGGTCCCGTGGCAGGGTCTGCGTGTGAAACCGGGAG